TATATTTTTCATTAGTTAAAAATAGTTAGGAAAGATAATTATAGTCATCATAATTATTTATTAGCTTTTGTCAAATAGGAGTTAGAAAAATTAGATTAAGTCCTAAAGTATAATCCTCGTGGGAACGATAATTTGGACTCAAAGGTCCACTATATTACTTGTTACGATATCGTACACTTGCGATATAAAGAGCACAACATGTGTGTGTGTGTGTGTGATTAACCTCAAGAATGCAACCACCAAGTCCCATTCCTCCAAACGTTTGGTGGAAACAAAGTGCAGCTACAAGTCCTTTGATTGTGCAAGTGTTGTTCGAGGCTACAACTTAATGGACAATGATTCCCAACTCCAGAACCTGTAAAAATAATTCATCTAGCTAGTATTAATTATTTTATTTCCTTAATTATATATAAAAAAAATTGCATTCTATAAATAACATGGAGGCATACACTAGTAGTTAATAATGATTGACGACAATACATCAGTTATAATCGATTTGTATTGATGTTAATATATATATATATATATATATATATTTTTTCAAATAATCAACAAATATTGAATTTTATGAGTATTACCAACAACAATAAAAATTTTAAAAAATAACATATCCGTCAATAAAATTGTGAATAAAAGTATAAAATGATATCTCAAATCATTAAATAGTTATTAAAAATTTAAAAATTAAGAAAGAATTGTCAGCAACACCAAAAGCTTCTCCATAAATTATCAACAGCTGAGCACTGTCGATGATTTCTAACGACATCGTCGACAAATTTTACATCAATAATCAGTGTCAAATGTATGCTTCGGTTATAACGAGTAGTATTTCAAATCAACAAAAGTAATAAAGGTTAGAAAATAACTTTTCATTGATAAGATCATACATAAATAATATAAAAAGATGTCTCAAATTACTGAATAAATTATTAAAAATTAAGGAAAGAATCATCAGCTACACCAAAAGCTTCTCCATCAATGATCAATAGTAGAGCATTGTCACTAATTTTCGATGACCTGACCATCAGTATTTGTTGTAAGAGGTGGGTTTTTTTTTTTTATCAAAGATTATATTTTTAATCAATGGAAATTCAGTTTTGATTATTTAATCTATTTATTATTATTAATACTATTTTAAGGACCTCCCTAAGAAATTTTCTAATGCTCCAAATCACTTGAATATTAGAGGAAAAAAATCAATAGGACAAATGATAATAATAGAACATATAATCTTATTTCATCCTCATTCTCAGTTTGACTTAAAATGATTTGTTAATGTACAAATTAATGCATGCTGCATGTATTGGGTGACATAGCACACTACAGTAGGTGATAGCACGTGGTTCATGGTTGCTTAGAAGATCGATTCCGTATATATACGTATGTATACAGAGAGAGATTTAAAATATTACTTACCATGGCAATTACGCGATAAGGGAGAATTTGTGAGCCCTCAACATCGAGTATGGATCCATAGTGATGGTGACCGTGAGAATGCCCAGTATGCACTACAGCCATATCTTGATCACCTTGAGACTCACGAAGAACTTCATTTTTGTTTTTCCTAGTGTATATACTGGTTGCCATTGAGTCTATCATCAATGTGTTAGGATTTGTGACAAAAATTC